GATCGTGTTCAGGTTTTATTCTTATGAAGCGTTTCACGAGTGTTGGTTTTATTGGAATATGCCGCCAAAGATTCCAATGAAACCAGACTGATCGGCGGAAATAAACCTGTCTTATGTCAACCGCGCTGGTTGTACTTAGATATTTTTACTGTCGTGTTCAGGTTTTATTCTTATGAAGTGTTTCATAAGCGCTGGTTTTATTGGAATATGCTGCCAAAGATTCCAAAGAAACTAAGCGGATCGGCGGAAATAAAACTGTCTTATGTCAACCGTGCTGGTTGTACTTAGGTATTTTTACAGTCGTGCTTAGGTTTTATTCTTATGAAACGTTTCACGAGCGCTGGTTTTATTGGAATATGTCGCCAAAGATTCCAATGAAACTAGGCGGATTGGTGAAAATGAATATGTCTTATGTCAACCGCACTGATTGTGCTTAGGTATTTTTACGGTCGTGTTCAGGTTTTATTCTTATGAAGCGTTTCACGAGCGCTAGTTTTGTTGGAATATGCTTCCAAAGATTCTAATGAAACTAGGCGGATCGGTGGAAATAAACCTGTCTTATGTCAACTGCGATGGTTGTACTTAGGTATTTTTATGGTCGTGTTCAGGTTTTATTCTTATGAAGCGTTTCACGAGCGCTGGTTTTATTGAAATATGCCGCCAAAGATTTAATGAAACCAGGTGGATCGGCGGAAATAAACCTATCTTATGTCAACTACGCTGGTTGTACTTAGGTATTTTTACGGTCGTGTTCAGGTTTTATTCTTATGAAGCGTTTCACGAGTGCTGATGTTATTGGAATATGCAGCCAAAGATTCCAACAAAACCAGGTGGATTGGTGGAAATAAACCTGTCTTATGTCAACTGTGCTGGTTGTACTTAGGTATTTTTACGGTCGTGTTTAGGTTTTATCCTTATGAAGTATTTCACAAGCGCTGGTTTTATTGGAATAACTCCTAAAGAAATCCACAATAAAACAAATGTATGTTTCAACTTAAACAACAATAATATAAAAATAAAACATTCGGTCAGGGTGCTTGTTCCCTTGGAGAAAATTGTTGACCGTTGGAATTTAAATTCTTCATCCTTTTCATTTCTTCTTCAATCCTTGATGACATTTTCAAGACCCAAAAAAAATTCGGTCAGGGTGTTTGTTGCCTTGGAGACATCATGGCAAATCTTATTCGTGGACTCACTACTTTGAGTTGATAGGATCCTCATTCCAAAAATTTCTTTTTTGAAGGAGGTTGACCACTTATGTCTGATATTATACAATTCATCCAACCAAACATTCTCGTGTAGGTTTCCTTTCTCGATCATTTTACCCCAAGTTTCTTCAAACTCCTCTTCAGAGTCACATATGCTCAAGTCTTTATAAAAAAGATCGTTAACTCTCTTACTACTCACGCCACAATGGACTTTTGCAGATAACTTCTTGTAAATGTGTCATTGACATAATCTATGTTTGATTTGCGGAAGACACTCTTCAATGGCTTTAGACATTGCTTGGTCTTGGTCAGTGAATATTGTTATTGGATGTTTGTTATCCATTATACGGATAAAAGCTTTGAATGACCACTTGAATGTTTCAATCGTTTCATGTAACAAAAAACCAACACCAAATAGAACATTCTGCCAGTGGTGATTCACACAGACAATCAGAGCACAAAATAAATTGTATTTATTCAGTCTATAACGTGTATCAAATATTATTACATCACCAAAACAGTCGTAATCAATCCTGGACATCCCACCGCACCATAAAAAATTCACCAAACATCCCGCCTCATCAATTTGGAAGTCCCACGCAAACATTGGATCCTTCGCTTGTCGAGTAGTTAACAATTGTATGAGAGAATTAGCATCCCCTAATTCAATTTGAACTCTTCTCTCTCTTTGCATGAAATTATATGCATCTCTCTTTGTGCAATCAATATTCTCCACTTCTCCGGCCTCAGTAGCGAGGAATCTGAATCCATCACTGGTTCAAATCTCTGATTTTGTCATTGATCTGAGGATATCAGCACTGACGTCACACATCTTTCTGCTGGAACGCAGTAGATGCTTGTCACCATCCTCCGCCAACGAATGGTTGTGACTTTCTAAGAATTTCTTTACCGATCAGTTGCCCTCTAAATCAACGAAGTATCGGATCATGGTTGAACAACTAGTCCTTGTGCCCGCTCTTTTAAACCTCGTAGTAATAGTGTCCTTCAACTCTTTCTTGAAACCAGCCTTACCACAAATAAATTTTTTTGTCTTAAGCTTCTTTGAATTCGCTTCTTAGAATTCGGCCAGAAACCACTGGTGTTCCTTTCGCACAGTAAATCCAATATGATGTGTTTATAAACAATATTGTTCATAAGCTTCCTGCTCGTTGTGGACCACTGCATGAAGTAATTTCTCTGCCTCAGGTGACTACAAATTTAAACGTCATTAATACAAGGTTACAAAACATAAATAACGCGATAATATTGCCATAATATAACCCAAATAACACCATGACAATGCCAATATAACATGTCGAACAAATGCCGTTAAGAAATGTTACTAGCCTCATAAAAGAAAACCAAGTCACCAGATCCAATATTACCTTAATAACACTGTGATACTACCAAAATAACACCAAATCCCCACGACAGTAACGTTACATTGTGATACTACCAAAATAACACTGTGATACTACCAAAATAACACCAAATCCTCATGCAGTAATGTTACATTGTGATACTACCAAAATAACACTATGATACTACCAAAATAACACCAAACCCCCACTAATACTATAACGAACAATCAGAAATGGAAAACAACTGCAAAAACAATCAGTGTATCACCGTGATATTACCTAAATAACACTACATCCCACCCTTACCGAAACTTAGTGTTACACGTTGTATAAAAACATAGGAAACTTCATTAACAATAAAATTATTCCTTAAAACCTAGAACTGCATTCAAACAAGTCTTCAACGTACCTGCCGATGTCTTTCTGCCGCATCTAAACTCTGCTTATTCTCATTATTCTCGAAAATATTCTGAGATTCCAGCTCATTGTTATGTTTCTCGCAAGTATTTTGAGATTCCAACAACATTTCTTCATCAATAACTATTTTTATCGAACCAGGTCCAGCGAATATGAGGCAACGAAATGAGAATATCCCGAATCCCTAAACTCTAAAGGAGACAAAATACCGCTTTTTTTCAATTGGCGGGAATCGAAAATGACAAAAAAGAGCTTTTTTTTTGTGGGATTCGGGCCGGGTAGGACATAATATGACAGAGTTTTTAAACTGAAAAATCCACGTGGCATTGAATTCCACGTGGCCGTTTTTAATTCAGTACGGCATGTAAGCCTTCATGTGGTATACATACCGAATAAAAATTCCCTTTTTATCACTTGTGGCCAACGAAAGCAGGCAAGAAAGCTTCATCGAGCATCTCCTATATGCGAGAATGGCTCTTGCGAGTCGTTTGTAGAATGGCTCTCCGTTTCTTTCCCTCATCCCCTCACGCTCTCCGTTTCTCTCTATGGCTTCCTCTGACTCGCCTTTCTTGTTTGGTTTTGAATGGATAAGAAGAAAATGAGAGAATATACGCAACTTAATCCTCCCAGGGGTGGTGGGCATCGTATTCAAACGAAACTTGTAAAACAACATATGTTGTAACAGAAAAATGTTAATTATTACTATCTCCTCCCTTTATAAAAATTTCGTCCTCAAATTTTAAAGTACAAAAATATATTTTCATACATTAATTGAAAAAATAAACCCTAAATTTACGGCGGTTTAAACGGCTGCTAAACAAGAATTTTCACTGGCATCTCACAATTACAAGGTGTCCCAACGTGACGACCGCTGTTAAAGTTAGCTTTTTTAAAGATGCCTCAAAATTGTGCTGCTAAAAGTAATATACTTTTGTAACGTGTGATGTATTTACTTAAAAAATTTATCTAATCAAATAGTTAAATTTATTTTATTTTAAATCAAAATATAAATAAAATAAAATAAAATAATGAAATCAAATCAAAATGATTGAAATGGCCCAAAATCATTATTATGTTTTTTATATTATTTATTCAATTTATGTTATTTTATTTTACTTATATTTAAAAATAATTTAAAATATATTTAATTTATTATATAAATCATTTTTATTTATTTATGTGATAATAGCTACGAGGATTTCAAGGGCCACGACAACTACTGATGGCATTAGAAAACACTAGTAATAAATATTTTATAAAATGATTCAAAATGTTTAAGAAAATGAGTTTTTTAAAAAAATAATATCATTTGTTCTTTAAAAGTAAAAAAAAATAAACAATGTCAAAAACAAAAACTACACTGAAATATTTTAAAAAATAAAATAAAAATGAAAATGCCTGAATAGGCTCAACACACACGCAGTATAGATTTCCTTTTAATATGATTTCAAAAAAGACAAAAAATCATAACAAATATTTATCGCATCCAAATTAAATATCTGCCTTCACCGTCTTCTACTCCATTTAAGCTCTCTCGTAATTAAGATTTCCAAAGCAAATAGCTTTTTTTGGGAAATATTAGTAACTCCTAACTTCCTATCGCTTGCCTTTAGGCCTCGTAATCTCTTAATTATTTGTAGCGACTTTTAGAATAGAGCTTTTTATCATGAAGATCAAAGTTATTCGAGTATTTAATGTATTATAGCACAAATTGAGAGCGAAATCAGTAGGCTTTCCGCCAAATCGTTGGCAAGGTCCAGCCAGCATTCAAGCCTATTTCGAGAGTTTGGAAAAATTGAATCAACTAGAAATATAAATAAAATATATATTGGAAAATATTTACGGGGTGAAACTGTTTTTCACTCGTACAATTATTTACTCGTAAAAATTGTCTAAAAATAATTTATTAGAACCTTTAATAAAATTTGATGAACTAATTGTTTAAGCACAAACAATTAAACGAATTATCATACTAGACACTTTTAAGTGAATGAAATGAACAGCAACAATTTGATAGAGGGAATACCAGACCTGTGATAAAATTTTATCATCGACAAATGTTTTGGTTTTGCCCATATGCTGAAACTTGAAAAGACTTATTTACAACCACACTTTCAATTTTTAAGGAACGTAACAGTTTTGTTTAAATAAGTAAATTCTACAAGAGGGGTTGAAGAAGTGGCTTATAAAGTAAAACCATCGATCCCCTCTTCCTTCTTTTTTGAACTTCAAATAACTTCGACACTGTTGTCAAGCGCTGCTTCTCACGCCATCTGTATCAGTGATTGCCCATTGAGGCCTAGCAGGAGTGCGTGCGAGCGCCTTTACTCCCAGCGGGTTATTCTTACTCTGCAAATAAACATAAAAAAAACATATGAGCCAAAAAATAATATAAGTATTATATATATATATATATATTCTAACAAAGAATAACTTAGATTATCTAGTGAACTACAGCTGTTAATTATGCTCTAGATCAGCCTGGCAACTATGTAAATTCACCATTCTTGAAGTCCATTTGTAAGCTCTAGAAATACCTTTAAAACTTATAGAAAGTCTTCAAATATAAAGATGAAAAATATAGATTAAATTATTATTTTTTTTAAAAAAACACATCTTCTTTTCTTTAAGAAGCTTAATTATTTTCTGGTGATCTAATTCTCCAATTCACCTAATTCTTCTCAATGAAAAGTCTTACCATATCTTCACTATTACTCATTTGACAAAATTTCCATGAAAAGCCAATCTATCCCTACACCTTACAAAGGCTTGCTAACTTTCCCCAAAAAAAAAAAAAATGATGAAGGAAAAGATGGCTTACCATGAGACAAGTACCAGCCTGAACGTTACAGATCGGGTAGTCATTAGGACAACAGCTGTAGTGATCATCACAGCAGGTGGCACCCTCCAAAGGACAGCAACCCCAGGCAAAGCAGAAGCCATTGAACTCATACACACAGCAGCAGGTGGAGCTTGATGGGCAAGTGTAGTAATTGTCGCAAACAGATGGAGGCTTAACTGGTGATGGAGGAGATGGTCCCGGATTTGGTGGGTTCGGGCTGGTCTTAATGGGATAGGATGCTTCCATGGCGATGCCACATTTTCCAGAGGCCAAGCCAATATTACGAGCCAATCTGATGTATCCTTTTTCTCCCCACTCTGGGCCCCAAGAGTTCCTGACAATCCAGTAATCCTTGCCATTCTCGGAGCCATAGCCCACTGCGGTGACACCATGGTCAAGATCCTCTCCACATGATCCAGAAAAAATCCCCTAAATGAATCAACCATGAGATATAACAAAAGATATTCTACTTTATACTGCTTAAAAAAACACCTGATGTGAATCAGTAGAAAAATGATTGTGGTCAAAGAAGAATCAAATAGTTTGTTCATAAAAGGATGCATTTAAGAAAATTAGAGAGAGAGAGAGAGAGAGAGAGAGATTAGTTCCAATGAATTATCTAATAATAGCAGGCCAATTTACGAAGATAAAGTTCTTGTAATGGTTATGCACACATGACAGAGATAGAAATCAATTATTTTGACCACGTCATATCCTAGATCAATCATGTGAGAAATCAAATAAGAAAAAAAAAATCTATGGGTTGTTGGGCTAGGCCCCAATTATAACTCAGACCTACCTATATTCCAATGTCATAAATAGCCAGAATTAAATAGTATGAATCAGTGTTTAACTGAACGCAAACCCATTTTAAAATTGTAAAAACAGAACCAAATACCCTAATCTGAATTTCATTTGTTAGAAATAAATATAAACAACTGTTATTCCAAAAGATATGTAACGGAAGCACCATATTAAAAGTGTAAAAACAGTTAACCAAATATCCTAATCTGAATTTCAATTGTTAGAAGTAAATATAAACAACTGTTATTCCAAAAGATATGCAACGGAACCAGCCAGCCACAGTTATATATCTCTAAATCGTGAACCTCATAGATACAAAAAACACAAAAATTCCCTGTAGTTTTCAAGAGATGTCCAACAGAAACTTATCAAGAGAGTTAGAATGTGCAATCACACTGTAGATGGCCACCGTCATAGCCAGTTCCACCCCTCAGGGGAAGTAATGACATTGGCACAGAGACACAGTAAGAATAGGAGAAAATATTGCCACATAAAGAATAGAACAAAAAAATATTGCATACTTACAAAATATGTATTTACAAGGGTAGATGGAGTGGCCGCGTCACATATAAGAAAAATTATAGTGCCGTGGCCACTCCATCCACCCTTATAAGTACATACTTATAAAGTAAACAATATTTTCTCGAATAGGAAAGTGTATCCATGTTGTTTGATATTATCTCAATATAAATAGCACCAGATTCTGGCGATCAATATGTTGGCTTATATATACCCAACTGTACAAGGTAACATTAGTACTTACAAATAGCAATAAAATTATTACTCGATAATGTTACTGAAAAAATTAAAGGCAGTATGCTAATGGATTTAAGAAGAATTTAACTTGAACCCTAGTATACAGAAAAATGGCAGCTTTCAAATTATGGATTTAGTAAATCCAGTTTCTTCTCAATTTTTTCACACTTGTGCCTTCAATCCCGTATTTACTAGATCATGTTGTTGATAGGATTCACTAAATACGGATTTACAGGATTTATTAATGCTGGTCATAAAGCCCCTAAATTGCAAAAAAAAAAATCATAGTTAGGACCACAATCAATTAAAAGCTAAAGCTAGTTTGTTGTATGACCTATCTAAAAGAATGACATCTTAGCATCCATAAATAGTTGCAGCGAAGGTCATGTTAACAGCCAGTGAAGTAAAAATTCATGTGTTTAGATAATAATATGACTGAAAAAATAAAATAATTAAATGATTAAAATAAATATAGAAATCAAACAATCATTTTAGCTATCAAGAACCCCTAGGCTGCATCATATAAAGATACTGATCATTATTTTATCTGTTGTTTCATTCAAATTTTCATTGGGTCTCACCGAATCATAGAACTGGAAAGCTCTTCCGCTGCCTTCAATGGCTACGCTAACTGGCTGTTTAGAAACTGTTATCTTCAGGGCATTCTCGTTATTCACTGGTACATCTTTGAAGTCATCTATGGTAACAGCACGTGCATTTTTCTGCACCAAGCATTAGCTCCATAAGAGCACTGCAGCAAACACGCAAAAAACAGAAATTTCAACAACGTACCCTGTAAGAATCGCATCTGCCGTCCCTGCCCTTGTAAGGGTAATCATCCTCGGTGTCGATCCCACCGTTTTTGATGATGAATTCGAAGGCATAATCCATGAGCCCGCCGTTGCATCCCTCGTTGACCGATGTATCGCACTCAATCAGCTCCTGCTCTGAGAGCGAGATCAGGTTTCCAGTCACGATCTGATTGATCCCTTCCACCGCAGCCACCGCAGAAAAAGCCCAGCAACTTCCTGCAAACGAATCGAATGACATTTAAGAAAAAGAAACCAGAATAGCTGGTCTATTAGCACAAACCCTTCAGATCAAAGAAAATCCGTGGACGGGACTAGTGAAAAAAACAATCGACATAAAAGACGAATGATCCCTCTGAAATAAGAAAAGAGTACCAAAAGGTCAACGAATGGGAACTAACCACAGCTGCCCTGGTCCTTGACGCCTACAACGGCCCCTTTCTCCCTCCAATCAATGGAATCCGGTACATCCTCGCCGGATTCGGCCTTGTACGGATCGTTTCTGGTGGCGGATAGGCTTCGGTGGCGGCGGTGGCCGGAAGTTCGGTATCCGAGAAATTTGGCGCGGTACTCCGCGTTAGTGAGATCGGCAAAACGGTTTAGACCGAGCCAGAAAGTATGCTCGCCGGCGTCGGCTGCAGCGTTGTGCTGGTCGATGTAGAGCAGGTTGTCCTTGAACACTTGGAAGCGTGATTCCTTCTCCTCCAAGGCGTTGAAAGATTTCTTGTGCTTCATCAGCCAGGCATCGTAAAGTAAGCCGACCTCCTCATCGCTCCGTTCGGCCGCCGCCTGGGCTGATGTGCCTGCAAGAAGCACGGCAACGAAAAGCAGGAGGAGGAAGGTAGATTTCATAGTGGAGGCTAATGAGAGGGGGAGAGTGGCTGCTTCCCTTTTTTAGGATTAGGAAAGCGAATTATATAGACTGAAGGGTTGATCCAAAAGCATCGTAAATGCGAGGTATTTTGTTTGTAATTTTTATTTTTAAATACAACTTGGCTTGACGAATAAGAAAGAAAAAAATTGAATGTTGGAAGAATTTAGGAGGTATACGGCCACGTTGGTCTCTTTGTTAAAAGGCTGCCCTCAGTATGCACTATGCAGCAGGTCCGATTGGCGACCCAGATATTTTTTTTTTTCTACATTTTAAATCTTAAACAAAAATTTAGTTATTTATTTTTATAAAGCAAATCTTAAACTATTTTTCCTTTATTTCATCACTTGTTTGATATTAGAAACGTGTTTATATGGTGCACGTTTTAGCCTCGCTCTAAAACAGTGAAAAATGTACGTTATATGAATTATAAAATATATTTGCAATGGGTTTTAAATTGTAATTATTATTAATAATTACTTTCCTTGATATTGAGTGTGAGAAGGCTCGTCGGTTGACGGAAAAATATGGATCAACATTATTATTTCTATTTTTTTCATGGATCGAGAAAAAAAATTTCTGATTTCCATTTCTGTTAGTGTTTTCTTACTTTTTTTTAGAAATAAAGTAATTTTTTACTGCTTTCAATATTTTTAAAATAGTTTTAACTCCTTGCCATTTTAGCTCACATGTACATAATGTTATTTTATGCACTTGTTAAATCTGAAACTATCTGGGAGGCACAATCAATCGTTCTTCAAATGAAAAGAGAAAGACTGAGAGTGCATAGTAATAAACAGTAGAAATTATGTAATATTTATTTGAGAAATGACGCCCTATTTATAGCCGTAGGGGGGTAAATCTATGAGATTATATGTATGTCCATTCTTATTAGGATAGTGAATATTATTTTAGTACTTTATAAATATGAGATCGACATACTCGCCGATGGATGCTTCCATGTAGAAGGACTCTTCTGCTCAGTATGATTTATGAGCACGCCGACATGTTAGGCTGATGAGATAGTTGTTTTTGGGGATAATAAGATGAAGGATGAAGAGAAAGGTAACCTGGGTTTTGTTCGAACAGATTTCTTTATTTTTGTCCTGATGGACAATAATCGGTTTATCGGTTCATCTGTCCATTACTGCTTTATCTTCACTGAACCGTCAAATTTTCTCATGATTCATGCTGATACATTTTTGGTATACATATTTAGTTTCATGATTTTCTTGTTTTAGAAAAGTCATGCTGCGATTAGAAAAAAGAAATATTTCATAATACAAAAAATGCAAAAATTAGATCAAAATTATGACGATATAATTATTTAATAAATAACTTCCCTAGATTTTCATGCTCATAATTACTAGAAATAGGCTGCAAGGGCTTGGAACTGGACGTGATCTTTTTCCATCCCTATTGTGTCGCACTCTCCCTTTACATCTAAGCACTTACAACGATCAGCGATGAAGCACTCGAGGTGATGTCCCATTACAGGGAGACACTAATCCGAGCCCTTCAAGGGATGATAGTTAAGACTCGAAAGGAGGAAGAGAAGAAGATAAAGTTGACGAAAGAAAGACCAATCGAAGAAACAAACAAGAAAAGATCTTAAAAGAGGAGAAGTATGCCCAACCAGGAATATCAAATGGGGTCCTCTGATTCACTTCTCAGGTCTCAACGTAAGGATACTTGGAAAAAATTTGGAAAATGGTCGGCTGATCCTCTTGTGGAGCTTTCGACCCATGTCGTTGAGTCGGTAGTTGCAATCAATGTACCAGTCCCGCTCGTTTCTGCAGCACAGGTTCCTTTCACCATCGAGGCAATTCAATAGATGATCGGTTCTGACTTGTCACCTGAATCACTAGGAGGGGACGAACTTCTCTTGCCAGTCTTGGGACAGGAGAAACCTTGTGAGGATGAAGTGTCTTTCACCACATCCGAAGGAATCAAATTGTTAGTATGCAATCCTATTTTAACATCTAAATTTTTCCTTTTATAATACTTTTTGATGCAACTACAGAGATCCTGACGATCAACTCCCTTTCATCAGACCTTGATGTTGATTCGCCTGGAGACGCTATAAGTGTCAATCAAGTGTCGATCGGAAGTGATAAATTCTGACATGAGAAGTTGGAGTTTGATTGCCAAGGTGGTCCTATCGAGGTTTCTATTGAGAGAGCTTAAGGTATTAAAATGTCCTATGGGTCCTTTGAACATCGCTCGGGTGAAATGTAGGAGTATTTTGCTCGTGGTCACAACAAACTCCCATGGAGAAGAAGCTTGTGGTTTAGCTGCCTGTATGGAGAGGGTTGATTGAATGGAGGGGGAAGTTTAGGAAGTCTCCTCTTTATCTTGGGGTCAAGCTGAGATAGGGTGAGTCAATCCCTTCGAGTTAGATGGTCAGGTATTGTGCAAATGGTTGTTTTGCTGAGAGTTTGTCTCGAGTAAATCTGAGAGTGATGCGCTTGTAAAATACTCTCTCAGAATAGCTCTCTGAGAGGTTCAATGTAACTTGCATTTCGTGTAAATAAACTAATATTTACATGAAGATTTTATAGCAATTAATTTACTCTAAAGAGCCTAGTGTAATCTCACCCAAACAAACCATAGGGATATAATAAAGAGTGAGCTCATAAAGTAGTAGAGTAAAATCTTCAATATAAAATAATAAAGCACTAGTCTCTGGACATGTCAAATGAAAAATTTTGTTGATGATATATCAATTCCATAGCTAATTATCATGATTTAAATGGTGTAAATGTACTTAATTTTTAAGTAGACTAACTATTTTTTATTTTTTATGTGATGTGTGCTAGAAAATTCACGGCAGTGGATTAACGGATTATCGTCTTAGCGTTGTACAAAAGTTCACTACATACACAGATGAAAAAAAAAACAAGTGGTGATGACTCCAGAAGTTTTTACATGAAAAACCCATAAAGGAAAAAACCACGGGGCCTGACACAGTTACGAAAATTCACTATTGATTGTTGATTACAGAAATCCCTTGTCTCATAGACGGAAAATGGTAATTTTATTTTTTAGATTACAACGTCAACTGACGGTGTCTGGTTGGTGATGATTGATGGTGGTTAGTGATGGTCGATGACGATTGTTAGAGGTATACGACAGTCGTCGGCGATCGTCGGAGGTCAGCGGTGGTTGATGACGGAGGTTGGTAGTGGTGCTGAGATGCAGCTTCTCCTCAAGGACTCAGACTCTCTCTAAATTTAAACCCCCCTTTATGAGGGACAAGACTCTATTTATAGTGTTTTAGGTGCAATTAATGTGAGATGTTTGAGTGTTTTAATGATCATACAACATTTAATGGACATTTGAGTGCCTTAACGATCTTAGAATTAAGTGATCTTGGGCTTGTTGTATTTATCTTGTCGAGCCGCTCGATTCGAGTATAAACTTGTCGGTGTCGACATTTGTTTGACCTTCCAAATGTGTCTAGAAATCTTCCAATGGTGGTTTAATGATTTTATCTGAGCTTGATTTGACTCAGATTTAACTAGTTTTCATATCATTAGGTCCATCTCATTGAGCCGGTCAGTTTGACTATAAGTTTGCTGAAATCGGAGCTCTAGATGACTTTTATCAAGATTTAAATATTACTTGCTTAAAATTTTGTCTTAAGATTTGTGTTATGCTTCGAGATTCGTGTCGGATGATGAAAATTTGTTGTTGACGTATCAGTTGCCCCCCTATTTTCGAGCGAGACCATTTTATCGTCAGAAAATATCAAGATCTGGAGCATTTATGTCCTGCATATGTATCGATATATATTATTTTATTAGTATTGGTGTAAGAAAATGTTTTCTTCTTATATATTAAGAAGTTGAATACAGCTCAGTTGGAAAGCATCTTTTGCATCATGAGAGGGTGACAGTATTCGAATCTGGTCTAAAACAGAAAAAAATAATAATTTTACAAAGGAATTTGAACCGATCAAGAATTTGAAGAGTAATTCAAATTCTGAAAAGAAGATTAATAGAAATTTATCATGTATTTATTTATTTATTAGCATTTAATGCTTGCACATCTTTTTATATTTATATATTAATGTGCTAATAACGAGTATTTAATGTTTGATTCCCTTTTTGAGCCTATAAATAGGCCTGAATGTGGGGGTAGAGGAGGAGTCCTTAGCTGATCCAAGATTTCCTAAAAGAAAAAAAATCGTCTAGCATAGCGGCGAAGAGTGGTGGTGTAGAGTCACGATGTAAAATTACGGTGCAGAGTTGCGGAAAAGAGTTGGGGTACAGATTTGTGGTGAAGCGTTGCGGCGAGGCGTTGCGGTGAAGAGGAAAGTCATCCCCGTCTCACGTAGTAGGCAAACAACGAGATTTTCTTTCTTGTTGAGGCAAAGAGGAAAGTCATCCCCGTCCCAGGAAAGCAACGAAATCTTCTTTCTTGTTGCGGTGAAGAGGAAAAGTCGTCCCCGTTCTGCGTAGCAGGCAAACAACGAGGTCTTATTTCTTGTTGCGGGGAAGAGGAAAGTCGTTCTCGTCCTACGTAGCAGGCAAACAACAAGATCTTCTTTCTCGTTGTGGCGAAGAGAAAAGCTATCCCCGTCCTGCATAGCAGGCAAGCAACGGGATCTTCTTTCTCGTTGCGGTAAAGAGGAAAGTAGTCCCCGTCATGGCGAAGAGGAAAGTCGTCCTCGTCCTCCGTAGCGGGCAAGCAACGAGATCTTCTTTCTCATTGCAGCGAAGAAGAAAGTTGTCTCGTCCTACGTAGCAGACAAACAACGTGATTTTCTTTCTTGTTGAGGCGAAGAGGAAAGTCGCCCCCTTCCTGCGTAGCAGGCAAGCAACATGATCTTCTTTCTCATTTATGTCGTGTATTTCAGAGGAGACTCCTGTGCCACCCTTGCACGTTCTAAAGGTGTTAAAGAAATGTTATAGTTTTGTTGTCGCACTTTTAGGAGAAGATTTTCATGCTTATGTGGTGGCAATATCGGGAGAGCCCTTGACGATCATCAGAAGTATTGTTTTTTAGGGATGCGATGTCAACTCTACTCGAAGA